GTGGACATACTACAGAAGGCACAGACGGAGGAAAGACGATAACCAACACTAAAGGTGCCGATCGCTTTTGGATTCATTTTGAAACCATCCAAAAAGGGTTCCACAATCTGAGACATGGCCAAAGATGTTAAATAGGAGCGTTCACATTTTAATTTTCCCTTAGACAAAGCTGACACAAGTTGAATGACCAACCTCCACACAAAGAACACACACAAAAAATCAGTGTCATGGGTCGGGTTCCTTTTAAAAATGCCCATTCCAGTGTCATTTCAGTGTCATTGGTGGGTTTTTAAAGGTCCCCATAAAAAGCTTCGCCTTTTTGAAGCCCCCCCCCACCCTACGTGGCAGGCGCGGAGGATCGAGGAGAAGCAGCGGCTGGAGGCGGCGCGCGCGCCTCACCGCTGGGAGGCCCACAACGGGACTCGGCGCTCCGTGCCGGTGCACCGCCTGGAGACCAAGGCCTTGGGGTCTTGGGGCCTTTGAGGGGGGGGGGGGAGGGGGGGGTGGGGGCTGGTGGGGGGGGGAGGGGCCTGGAGGTGTGCGATACCCGGCCAGAGGTCCATGATGGCACCCCAGAATTTAGGGGGCCTCGCAAGTGGATCCGAATGCAGGGGATGCCAGGCATTGTTCCACATTTCCTGAGAGGACCCGACGAACGGGATTTAAACGTTGAGGTTTCAGCCGTGGTTCAAACATCGAAACCGTTCGTTGGCTGAAAATCCGCCCCGTTTCCCTCCAAGGGGCCAAGGAGGGACTCTCTTATAGGGGCGGGGATGCAACCTAAATCGTGCATTGGACCTTTTGCCTTCCCACAAATGGCGGTGGCTCAAATGAATGTACCAAAATGACACCTTGGTAGATGGAACCAAAGACTAAAACCGCGTAACCCTAGCTCTTGATTTTTGAGCCACAGCCAAATGTGTGCGCGTTTGTGGGGCGCTGTCTGCCTTCAGTCCGCCTCCGGGGCTGCGGAGCGGCAGCACTACGGCACAATGGAGGTCTTGGATCACTCCATCCAGGCGCACCAGGAGCAGCAGCTCAGCCCCCCGCCTGCGACAGGGCGGCGGCTGAGCCTGGCCGGCTCCCGGACCGGCCTCACGGGGATCCGGCAGTGCTGTCGTCATTGCTGGACTTGGTTTACATCTTTGGGCTGTTTGCCATGATGGCGCATGGCGCCTTTTTCTGCATGCCTGTTGCCAGCATTTGCATGCCAGATAGCCTTCGCCGGCCGCCGTTGATTGCAATACCCTTCAACTAGATGTTGAAACTGGGGCCTGGTTGTTTCTAAAAACAACCCGCGCGGACGGCTAGCTTTGATTCACGGGCATGCAACCCAATGACACTTGCGACAAGGCCTCAGGCAGAGAAGATCCTTACAGTGTCGTTCTCTGAGCTGAGGAGACGATGAGCTGCAGGTCGCTGCGTGGATCTACGCCGTCACCGGGGATTCCGGCTCCAAAGCGGCAGCCGAGCTTTGGCCGAATCCGAAAGCGAAGAGAGGCGTAGGTGTGAGGGGGGTTCGCACAATCCTACCCTTGTGCCACATGCCCCCAACATGGCTGAGGGGCTGCAATTTTGGCGGATGCAAGTTTCAGGGTGCACATGGAACCTTTGAGTGGGTCCTGGTAGAACTGGACCTGATTTCAGCCCGTTTGAGGCTGGCCAGGGCACGCTTCAGGACGGGCTGGCTGGCGTTTCATGCCTGTTTGAAGTTTGACTTGTGGCCGTCGCAGCATTCTAGGGCTAGCTTCCCCATGCTTTTCAGGGATCCTTCTTCACGAAAGCTAGCTTTAGCTAGCTGAAGTTTCTCCTTGCGTAAGCAAGGTAAGGGGATGAAATGCAGAATATATATATATATATATATATTTATCGATTATTTGAGCCAAACAGATTGCAAGAATCAATGATTTGGACCCCCCCCCCCCCCCCCCCGCTGTCCTGGGCTTCATACAACAGTTGCTGGCTTTCGTTCACCCCGCCTCCTCAAGTAGAAAAAACACCCAAACCCCTGGGATCCCTGGGGAAATGGCTGGTTTTTGAAAAGAACGATGGCTGAAAAGACAGGGGAATCAACCCCTAGAAGCATGGTAACTTTTCGCAACGCGCAGGATGCTTTGCAGTCAGGAGAGGCCAGGCCTGACCTTGCATTGAATGTTTGCAGAGCTCAGGATGCGGGTTTAGGCGGTGGGTGTTCCTCTGTTTTTTTTTTTGTTTTTGTTTTTTTTTTGGTGGGGGGAAGGGAAACAACCCGCCGGATGGTTTTGAGGGACACAAAGGAATTTCTGGTTTTCAGTCGGTTTGCAGTAGATGGCGCGGAACCCCCATTTTGGTTTAGTCCATTCAGTGATCCCCACATCTACCAGGAATGGTGTCCTTTACTTTTATCCTGGCGTACTGTTTGTGAGGATCCAACTCCTTGTAAAGTGCATTCCTTTGCAGCCTTCCACCGGAACCCTGCTGAATGCCATGTTTGAAACCGGTGGTTTCACAGGCTGATTCAGGGGTCCCTATGTTTTGTGGGCTCATTTAGTGCGAGCTTCCCTTTGACTGGGCGATATGTAAGGGGCAAACTTAGAGAGCCCAGTCTGTTTGTCCCTGGCAACCGGAGATGAACCCGATGTTTCCCTAATCCCTTTTAGGCAGCCGGTTTCGTCGAAACCGGGGGCCCGGTTTCACTGGCAGGTGTGTTAATCAGGATGTGGGTTCTGTGGCTGACTGGGTTTCCTCCATTTCCCTTTTGGAATCTCCAGAGGTGGCGATCGGCTCACTGGAAACCGCTCGCAAATTGATCAACTTTCGATTTGGGGGAATCCAGCGACCTCTGTGGTGCGAAAAAAAACACACACGAGGAAAAGCAAGAAAAAAACAAACAAACAACACAGCACCCACCATTCTGGGGGGCTCCAACATCTTAAAGAGGAGCCAGGCGACCTTTTCGCCGACTTTTTACAGCTGCTTCGCTGCTTCGCCAGGTGCTGTGCGACCTGATCAACGCCATTTGGCCGAACCGGATCGTGGGCATCTCCCGGGGCGCCGCGGCCCAGCTGCTCTTCCGGCGCGTGGCCAACATCACGCCGCTCGATCGATGCATCGAGGGCATCGGGGGCATCGATGGCCGGAGGGCTGGTGCGTCCCTTTTGGTGGGGTGGTTGGGGTTGGGTGTGGGGGGTGTGGGGGGGGGGTCGGACGGGGATGGGGTTTCGGAGGATCCCGAAGAGGCTCTTCAATGCTTTTTGAGGCTCCCTTTCCTGGACGGGGTCATTTCGGCGCCAGGAATATTCATCAACCCCCACATCTCGGCTAGCACAATCCTTGGGCTCAGGCAATTCGTGCAGGCCTGCAGCAAGGAGGGCATGAGCAACAGCGTCTTCGTGCCCGGAGATTTGGCAGAAGGCAAGAACTTCCGGAGCGCCCCTCGGCAGGCGTCGGCTGGCTGTGACCCGAATTGGTGGGGCTAAGCTTCCCTTCAAGTTGCCTAAAGTCCATCGTCCACCCATGGGGTGGGTAAAGGTAAGTGGTATGTTCCTGAAGCATAGCTGCAAGGATAATTCTACACCACCAAAAAGCCCACAAGGGTGTGTCTTTTTTGAGGGTGCCCCCTTTTCTGCGTTTTGCAGGGACAAGAAAAAAAGCGTCACATAAGCACTATGTTGGAGGGCACGCCTCCCCTCCATCCCCACCTCGATTCGATTCGGACACTCGCCTTGGGAAAATCGAGGTGGTGCGGTGCCTTTGCGCTTTGGCGCATCAGGTGCCGGACACCTGGGAGGGCCCAAGGCTGTGCCGGGAAACGGCCGGCCGCCAAGGCACCTCGGCGCCTACTTGCGAGAGACCTGCAAATTCGTATGCGTAGAATTTGTTTGAATGTGTTGTCCGTATTTGTCCGTATGCAATATGTGTATATATACATATATGTGAGATTAAAAAAACATGCTGATGTACAGCTGTATATAAGTTTATCTGAAGATGAGGGAATGAAATCTGTGGAAAGCGATTCGACGGTTTAAAGGGGGCCCACGTGCTCGGTCGGGTTGACATCAAGACAGAGAGGGAAAGGTCAAAAGCGCGTGCAGTGCCGAAGGCCCCGCTTGTTGTTGCATGTGTTTTGTTGGACCCGGGATGTTTGATTCGCTGCGCCTGGCAGGGATTTTTAGTTACACCTGTCAGCTATGGTGTAGGGAGGTCGGCTGGGGAAGTGATTATGTTCACACAATCCAAAGTGCCGACATGTCAAGGACTGCGCCAAAACAGTTGCCTTCACCTGGGAAATGCACCGTTGTGTAAGAACCGCTTGCCGTGCAAGCGCGGAAGCCAACCTAGCAAAGTATCTGATTTTCAGTGCCATTCCCCATCAGGGGCTTCCCGGTGCCGCGGCTTCCTTTGTCAAAGGCATTTTGATGAATTCAACCGCATGCTGCCCCTGCCATTTTTTGTGCCTTAGTATTTGCTTAGTATTGTCGTAGTATAGCTTTCCTTCCCTGAGATATTACTGCCGCTCCCTATCAATATAAACTTGTCCATGCCACCCGTTTTGAAGTTTCGTTCAGGGTGTTTGCTTTAGTAGAGAATGTTATGGCCCTAGACAGTCCTTTTCCTAGCATGCCCTAGAGCATCATGCCCATACCTTGGCAGGGTGACCATAGCATCTTGACAAGAGAGTGATGTCATCGGCCCAGGCTCTCCAGACAGATCAGCTTCACGAAAATGACCCCAGCCAAAAGCGGCTTCGCTGCGGGGCACTGTGGGGTGCTGGAGGGCTGAACCCATTTTCGGGGGTCTTGAATGCCTAGAACCGTGTGGGTGACCTTACCCAGAATGCGACGAGGAAGCCGGTGAACAGGGCAATGGATAGCTTCCAATTTGTCCCCAGCCCAATCCATGGTGGGAGCGAGGGTTCGCAGCGTTCAGCCCACGTGGCCGAAGTGTGAAAGGTGACGGAGATGTGGGACTCACCTCTGCTGCTCTGCCATGTCATCGTTTTTGGAACCGGCTTTAGTGAGGACACCCACTGGCCAGAGCCAGATCCTTCCGAGCCAGGCGCTGGGGTTCAGGAGCTATGTGAGAGATTTGAGCATCACTCGGCTGTGGCAGTTTGTGCATTTTGCACCAAGGGCGGCTGGCACAAGCCCCAAACCACTACCCCCACGAGAAATAGGGGTTTGCTAACCAGCAAGTGCAGGCCGTTACACCATGAGTTGCTAATGGGGTGTAGCTTGGGGGTAAGTGGAAACCCTCGAACTGAGGGAACCCACGGCCATCTCGTGGAAAGTGTTTGTCAGATCCAAACAAATTGAGAGACAGCACTGCCAGGTGAGTCGGCCCAATCACTCCTGTTCATGCGGGCGCCTTGGGGAGAGGTATGTGCATGCGGTGGTTTGGTCGATGGATTCCGCCACCACCGTATCACCACCCATTCAAAAGGGCATGTCGTAGCAGACGCACACGCACACAGGCAATGTGTGTGTGTGTGTGTGCGTTTGTGTGTATGTAATGTATGTACTTATGTATTTATATGTGGCAAGAGAATACATGTCATACGACAAGGTTACCCACGAAGGTAGAGGTTTGGAGCACTGGAGTTGCTGATTAGGCAGTTGGCCACCACGGATTAGCACTGTTCTTGTGTCAGGCAGTGCCCTCGTGAGTTCCAGACACAGGCGAGCTGAGACACGTGAGCAGCTGTCAAGACTTGTGCCTTGGACCCTACCAGCCAGCCAGTAGAGGTTTAGAATCCACTGCTAGTGTGTGAGGGCATGGTCCAAATTGCTTGTCCATGGCTGAGAGAGAGAGAGAGAGAGAGCGAGAGAGATAGAAAGAGAGAGAGAGAGAAAGAGAGAGAGAGAGAGGAAGCAACAGCCCGTTTTCATTCAAACCAGGGGAGAAGCCTGAAATGCCACCCAGAAATGAAGTGGCTTCTTGCAGATGTCCTCGACGAGTTGGACCTCAGAACTGCTTCAAAAAGGGAGCCGGTGAAACCTGGAATTTGAAAGGGTCCAACTGCCAGCCTCTGACATCAGGTGAGAAGCTGATGTTGAGGGGGGGGGGCAAACATCAGAGTAAACCTAAGCCAGCCATTTTTGGCGATCCAATTCGGAATCCACATCTTCCCATGCAAGAGGCAACCAGCTTCTACGAGCGGGTCGGCCTGGCGGTGCTGACGCGCTGACCTGAGAGGTGACTAACTTATTGGACAAAGCACGGAACATGTATGCCCCCCCTCATAGACGCCTTAAACAGTCCTTCGAAAGGGGAATTTATTTTACCCACGACCTGGTTGCTCTGAAGACACCCTTGGGCCCTTCCGGGGTCTTCAAGGGTCTCGCAATGCCCAGGAATGGGCAGAAGGCGCAGAAGGTTGAAGATTTCAACCCATAGGCAAATAGGCACAGTACCGATTTCTCCATAGTTTGGATTCTTTACATGGTTTTGGGCATGAAGGCATCCGGTTTTGCATACCTTTGCAAGCCCCAGGCACTCGCGGAGCCTGGCGCCGCGCATGATCCAGGAGGTGGTCCTGGCCCCTGATGCGTTGGTCAGGGCCCCCCGCCATCGATCCAAACGAGGCTTCCTGGACCCGGCGAGGGCGATTTTTTGTCTTTGCGCTTGTTGGCCTGGAAATTGGATTTCGCGTGGAGAGGCTGCTCATCCGCTTCAGGTGAAATGACGACCATGGGGCTTGGATGGCAGAAGTGGCTTGCTCAGGCCTTGCCCTTTGCCAGAGCTGGACTCCTTGATTCGGCAGGGCACCCAGGGCTAATTGGTTAGCTTGTCGCGCTGGCAGTGCTTTATTTGGCCCACGTAGGCCATGGCCCAATGCTTGAAGACATGCCGAGGTGTGTTTCTGTTGGTCGTTTTTTCCCTTCAGGTGCCCAAAGCTTGTGACTTGTTGGTATCAACGAGTTTGGTCAATCATATGGCCAATGACCAGAGGGGGGGGGAGTCACTGCACACTCTCTGATATTGACATCCTCCTTTGTGATGCCGGTAGTGAGATTTTCTCCAGGGATTTTGGGCCGGCAGCCCCACGTGGCTCCCTTGCCACTCCCATGGCCCATGTGAAACGCGCACGGGCGGCCGGGCGAGGCCGTGCCTTGCGACCTGCTTAGCGGCCCTGCGCGGGACTTCCTGGCGGAGCGCCCGGCTTGTCCTGCAGTGGGCTCCTTGACCCCCACCGACTTTTCTGAGATGGTTGGGTGGTCCATTCCCCCGTTGGCTGCTGCGAGCAAGCAGGTTTCATCGCGTTGGACCGTTAGACGCTGACTCCAAGCTGACATGAGCGCGCAATACATCACTTTGGTAGGTTACAGTTCATGTGGGGAGGAGAGGAGATGGGCAGGCGGAACTTCAACCACACATATGTTCCCACAAAACAGAGGACATGAATCAGACGTTAAGTTATATTAGTCCGCTGCTCGCATCCAGCTGGTTTGGGATGACTGAGTATGGCAGGCGGGGGCATCGACTCCACCACAGGAGCCGTGCTGGACTCAGCTGCGCATCGTGAGCGACGCGATGCCACATTTGACCCTGAGGTTGCTCAGCCCGCGTGGAGCCCTGGTACCTGCAAGCCACTCCTTCTAAACGGAAGTGTACATCCCATTTTGGAAGCTCTCTTTCAGCACGGAAGGGCCATGTAGTCAAAGTGGGGCGAGCGACCCTGCCAGCTAAAATACTTTGCACAATGCGTGCCAAGGCCAGGCCCGGATGAGGCCGGAGCTTGATTGTTTTTTTTTTGGGGGGGGGAGGGGGGGGGGAGGGCTTGCGTGGGGGAGCCCTCTAGGTGTTTTGCCGGCTTTGTGCTTTGCTCTTTTCATTGGCTAGGCCGAGACGAGGTCCGGTACCGAAGCGCCGGAGCTTGGAGCCCAGCGGAAGAGGCTGCCAGGCTTCGTTTCATGGGACATCTTGGAACTCAACTGCCTTGGCTTAAAGGGGGCTTCAAGCTTTGGGGTTTCAGGGTAGAGAAGGCCTTTGGAATTTCCTTTGTGGCCCATTTTGCATGGAGAAGACTAGACAAAATGAAGCTCGTTAAACTGGAATCTCGTGCCGTAGATAGCCCGGCCACGCATGCGATTCAGGTGCTTGGTGGACTACCTCTTGGAGGCCAGCCGAATGTCAGGGTCAGGGAGGTCCCGGCTACATGCTGTTGATTTGGTGCTTTCTAGGATGCCCTTTTACATCAGTCATACACGTGATGGCATCCTTCAAGCATTGCATGGTGGCGTTGGCCAGCAGCTGGCTCTAGGGGGTCCCCGACAAAGTCTTCGAAAGCTTGGGGTGACAGGAGCTCAACTGGCAAAGCGGCGGCAGCTCAAGCTCGCCCATGGCCCGGTGATCTGTGCTCAGCTCTTCAAAGCGACACTCCTGTGCCCGAGGACGGATGGGGTGCGACCGGCTCGCCTGCACGGTGCTCAGGGAGGTTTGTGAGCGGAGTCCCACCCCAGCAAGGGCTCCGCCCTCAGCTGGCAACAGGTTGGCGCGGTATGCCGCGCTGCTGCCGGAGGAAGGCTGGCATGTCACCTGCGACTTTGCCAACACTTGTGCGCGCCAGCATTGGCGAATGTTGGCGAGGCAGTTCGAAGAGCAAGCCGTCGGAGACCTTGACACTTGACCCGCTCATGCCCTGCCGGAATTGGCCGCTGTAGGTCAGTGCCCGCAGCAGTTCTGGACCCCATTTTGAGGAGCGGTCAGCTGCAGCCCATGTCAGCTTGTGCAGCACTGTGCAGGAAGCTGGGCAATGTGCTACGTGACTCCGCTGACAAATTGCTGGCATCACAGCATGTGGGCGAATCAGAACATGTGGCTCATGGGGTGTTCGTCACTCGTCCACAATGTGCTGCCGAGGTCTTTCCATGAATTGGCCGGCGCATTGGCCACCCTGGTGCCAGATTTAGCTTCCGATTTGGAGGGAGGATCTGCTTGCGGAATTGTGGCTTCGATGCTTGTGGGGCTTGCAGGCAGATGCGGGCATTCGACCCAACAACGTGCTGGAGGCCTGTGGTCGGGGTGTTGGTTTGGAGGCCATGTGCTTTGGCATTGTGCGGCTGCGAGGACCGCTTCTCGATTTTCTGATATGGCTGTGGGTCAAAACCAATTTGATCCCATTTTGGGGTAGGTGCACCACCCATGATAGAACCTATTTTAGTGGTTGGATTGGGATCTTCGCTGGGGGTACGATTTGGCTTTGGATTTTGGAAAAGCCATGGCCGATGTTTTATTCCCAGCCTCCCTCCCGTTGGCTTCAACGTGTTTCGGTCCGTCCATCCGTTGCCAGGCGCTGGGCAGCGCCGCAGAGGCCTTCGATCGGTTCCAACCCAGCGAGGCCGTGGCGGCCGCCTGCTGAGAGCTCGCGCGGGAAGAGGGGGGCCCACGGTGACGGTTCTTTGGACCTCTTGGCTTCCTTTGGGCCTTGAAATCTTAGGCCCATCTTTGTGTTTTGGTCAAGGGTGCCCCTGTTTTTTTGGAAAGGGGAGACCGAGGGACATCACGCACGGCGTTTGCTGGTTCGAAGCGGCGCGCAGCTGCCCGCTTTTGGAAGGCCCCGATGTGGATGGATTTGACCACCAGCCCCCCAAGCGGAAATGTCGAGGCGTGCGGTTCAACTCTTGTTCCCTGGGTTTTGGTTTTCCATAAGCCAAGTTGCACAGGAAGTAGTCCCTTCTCATTCCTGGCCGCTGCATGATAGTATTGTTGGCTGATTGGGCAGATCCCTGTTTCAAGCAGGTGATGTTGACTTCCCAACGCGGGGCCCTTTCAGGAACTCTGCGGTGGCATCGCTACAGTCATGTTTCCCCAGGGGGCGCCAGGCTTGCCTTATGCATATTTTGTAACAGATATCTACAAGTGCTTTCTTGCATGGCTAAGTGGTCCGATCATTTTCTGGCTTTGTTCTTTGTGTTTGGAAGCGAGCCGTGTGCAAGCAGACTCCCGTTTTGCCACGAGACGTTTTCTCCGACCGAGGTGGCGGCGCTACTCCATGGCTTGCAATCCTCAGGACGGGGTGCCCTCCCTTTGTCAGATGGTCAGGGGCTTCGGCTTTGCGTGGCCTTGTGGCTTGAATTCCTTTTGGTGTTTGAAGGTTTCCAGGCAAGTGAGACACTGGGGTCTAATTCTGAAAGCTATCACTTGCGGGGGCGCTTCGACTTTTTCGTATGATGACGGAACCACATGGCCATGGGTCAAAATTCAAGTTGTACCCCTTCTGTGAACATCCCAATCCAACCACACAAATAGGTCCTAAAATGGGTGGTGAGTTCACCTACCAACCAAAATGGGATCCCAAAACGGTTTTGACAACCACAGCCACCTGGAACCACTTCCTGCCACGTGGAGTGTCACACCAGACTCGCCCTCTTGGCAGGCCGCAGCCTGCAGCCCTTCCGGCAGCGCCTGGGGGCCTTCCTGGACGCCTGGGCGCAGGCGTGCTTTCAGCAATGGCATCAAGGGCATAGGCGTCCTTTCTAGGTGAGTTTGGTTAAAAATAGATGAGTTCCACTGGTTTAGATGGGTTTTGTGCCATTTACCAGGGCCATCTTTTTTTCACAAAAAGGCCGCCTACGATCAAGGGTGGTCCCGAAAAATTCAGAGGGCACCCCTCCCAAAACGTGAAAGGGACCCCCCGTAAAAGGGAACCCCCTAACAGGGACCCCCCTAACAGGGACCCCCTACCAAAACCATGTTTGATCCTCTGACAGGGACCCTCTTTGCAGGCTTGATTGCGTCTTTGGGGGTTGTCATGACTTCCCTAGTGAATCCAGCGGCGAGTGGGGTTCTGTCAGGAGCTGTCGTTCCCCTTGGGAGTGCGCCTCAGATGTGACGGCTTGCGGTTGCCACTTTTGTTGATTTGGTTTGTTCCTTTTGGGGCTGTGACATGGACGAAAAATCCGGTACGATAAGACAAAAGAAGCTTTGCCCCTAAAAATCCCGTTCGAGTCAGTCTTGCCCGGGCTTCCTGCGAGGTGACAGGCCTTTGCAGGTGGTGGCAAGGCTGCTGGCTCTACCCTCAGTTCCCCGAACGGAAGTGCGGCTCATCACGTGAGGGGGTCGTCCATGTGATCCTCAGTGGTGCCTGGGATCCTGATCTGTTCAGACAACAAAGAGGGGGTCTGGTGTGGATTCAATCATTTGTGCAGTAAAAAAAACGTCAACCTGGCGAGCCTCCTGCTTTGGAGGTTGCGGCAAGCCATTTCCGTCATGCTAGTCCCTTGAACGTTGCCCTGAACGATAGGCCACAGAGAGAGAGAGAGAGAGAGAGAGAGCGAGAGAGTGTGAGAGAGACAGAGGGATATCCAGATTGAGCTCTCGTTATTTTGCATAGCCAGCCTTAGAATCCCCAATGACCGCATGGGATACAAGCCTGTTTCTCGGCGCAGGTCATATTGCAGGATCACCCCTGTACATTGTACTCATCTTCCGGGTTTCGGCTTGAACCGGGATTCATCGGACCGGATCACGCGCAGTGCATCTGCTTGACCTCAATTGAATTTCCCCTCCAACTTCATCCAACAGATTGCTATTTGCGCATCACTGACCTTGGACGAGCAAGACCTGCTCGAGGATGCCGGAGAGAGAGAGAGAGATTTTGTTTTTCTTCGACACCTTTGGTGGAGTGGTGCATTTTTCAGCGCCAGAGTTTTTTTTTTTATTTTTTTTCCGACTCCTCAGGTGGATCGGTGCATGTTTTCCGCTTTTAGCCGAGGCGGCTGCGGATCACCAGCTGGTGAAGCATCAGGTGCGCTGGGAGATGACGAAGGGACCCTGCGGGTTTCGAAATTTTATTTAGGGCAGCGAGCTGCCGAGTCTTCCTCCCCCTCAAAAATAAAAAGAGAAAAAACATAACACTCCCCCCCCAAAAAAAAAAGAAAGAAAGAAAAATAAAGAAAACAAAACAGGTGCCGCAGTGCAATATTTTTGCATGGGCCCCGCAGCTGACATGGAGGTCTTCGCAAGACTTCCCATGGGTTCAAGACGTCATCCTTACTTGGACCCTTTGATTGCTTCATCCCACTGCACAAACCGTTTGGGTCGTCCCCCCACTTCAAGTTGTGAGTAGTCACGGTTCGGTTTCCATGTTGGTTTCCTCCCAACCTGGGCCATGGGGCCCCAAGCTTTGACACAGAAATGTGAACCCCGAATCAAACGACCGCTTTGGCTCCCAGGGGGACTGCCTGGTGCAGCTCCTGCACTCGACGCTGACAGAGGACGGCCGAGCTCAGGGTTCAACATGAGAACGACCGGAAGAAGCGGCTTGCAAAGCGGATAGCGCATAAATGGGAAGCAAAGAGAACAGCTTTTGCAGGGGGGTAATGTGACCAACCCCGAATCGGCGCTTTGGCTGGCGCTCTTAATAACTGTGGGGGGTCCAAGCGCAAGGCCAATGCTAGTCTTCACTTCGAAGACCTTGCTGACTTGCTCAGAGTGCTGGACTCAAGTGCTGCAGAGTTTGGCGTTTCTTTTTTAGGGGTAATGGACCCAAGGGAAGTGTAAAGGAAACCACAAAGACTCAGGGCGTTTCCCTGCTCGCGACAGACCCAATTCAAGTGATCCCTGTGAGCATTGCGATTTGTGCTCGGCATGGTGTTGGTGATTCTTTCCTAGGCACTGTGCCTTTTGCAAGAACCCGCCAGCCGGGTGCCAAGTGTGGTCAATGGCAGCCGTTGAGTGATGGGCGGCTTGCTGCAGGCGAAATGGAAGAGCTGCTGAAGGCTTTGCAAGAGACCAGTGTTGGGGCCCCCAGCCATGTTGGCATATGCTGTTTGGCGTACGGATGTGCAGTTTCAGGCCGTTCTCCAGATTCGCCTGTGCGCCGCCGCTGCCAGTGCGAAGCCTGAAAGGGTCTTAGCGCTGCTTCAGGCGCGTGTAAGTGGTTGACTTAACCCTTCCAAGCAGGGGGTTCCGGAAGGAAATCATGGCAGAGGTTCATATTTGGATCCATCCATGTCCATTTCTCTTGGACAACACTGTTCCATGGTTCACTGCTTCTTTCTTGACAGTGAAGTGCCCTTTGCTAGCATTCAAAGGCTCTCAAGTCCAACTTCTTGAGTCTTGCCTACTTGCCAAATACCAGACGCTTGTGGGAAAAAACCGCGGGCCGGCCGGGTTGCAATTCGCGCATTCGCGCAGGCGTTGCCCGTGTCCCCTGACAGCTGGAGTTCCGGCCTCGGACGGGGGCGCGATGACACCGGCCTCGGCATGTGTGTCGTGTTGACCTCATTGAACGGGGTTGTGCAAGCTTGCTTCAGCCTCAAATGGCAAGACCTCGCTCTTTGCATCTCGCTGTGTTGCAAGCTCTTAACTCGCCGCGAGCAAGCGACACTGGCTGCTTGAAGGGCTTAAAGGTCACTGAGGGGCAGCGGAAGGAAAGGCGCCCGCCCCCCCGCCAAAACGACAAACCGCCGCCATGAAGTCTCTGGCGATCTTAGGCCCGCAGCTCCTGACTGCGCTCGCCGAGCGGCTGCTGGACGACTCCCAGGCCTGGATCCGATGGATCCAAACACTGAGTACCAATCGGTACCAATGTCGGGCAGAGAGGCGAGTTTGAATCAGAAAGGATTGTGCTTCCTTAGTGATTTTGGTATTATCAAACCTTAGCAAAATTACGGGGGATGGTCATGAGCCCCATGAATGAGAAAGCGGCAAGCATGGAAGTCGGAAGCTGGGGTGCATCGCTAAATTGGTGAGAGCCAATATCCGAGCAGCTTCACGAGTCTCAGAAAATAACCCCTATTGCCTATAGTCTTGTCATGATGTGGGCGCTCCAGTTTTGCTGAAGAGGGCAATTGACGACTTTTATTTCGGATGGTTCCAAGTTCTTACGGGAAAATCGGCGGAGAGCTGACGGCTTCTCCCAGGTCCTCGGCGGCTCCGGCCATGGCCCCAGCTCGCGTCGCGCTGCGACTCGCGCGCACGCGCGCTTCGGAGCGCGTTGGGTCGCGGAGGCTTGGCGGCGGCGCTCCAAGCCTTCGCGAGGCGCGGGGGAAGCGGGGGATGGGGCCTTGTGCGCCTTGTGCGCCTTGTGGGCCTTGTGGGCCCTGTGGGCCCTGTGTCCCGGTTGCAACACCTTTGGGGGGGAAACGAGCGATCAGAGCCACTAGCTACTAGAACATGGAGCACAGAGGAAACCCCCAGGAGACTCCTCCAAAAGTGGCTTGTCTGGGCTCCGTGTCAGAAACATCCGTGAGCCAGGCTGCGCGCCCTGGATGCCGGTCAGGTGGGGGTATTCTTTGGATGCCAAATTGGGGCCCATGCGTTTACAAGTTTTTTGGGAAAAGATTAGGGTCCGTCCGTGGCTGGTTTCCGTTTGGTTTCCCTAAACTATGCAAGAAGGATCACCCCCGACTTGAGTGCCCAAAACTTCCATTGGCAACTTTGGGAGCTTCTACCAATCGCCTGGTTTCGAGGGGGTCAGTAAGGCTCAGCAAATGCAAAACTTCACAGCCAAGTTGGTTGCGCCTCAAATGGGTTTTGGTGCTGCTCGTTCGCTGGGCGACTGCGAAGGCGCGGGAGGAAGCTTCCCAGCGGCTTGCGCGGGCGCGCGGGGCTCGGGTGTCCCAAATAGTTTCGCCAGCGGCCTCGATGTCGGCATTTCCTCAAGGCACCTTCTGGGGTTTTGATGGTGGTATGTTTTGGTGTCTTGCTGTTTTGATGGTAACAAGGCTTCTTGTTCTAAGTGAGCCGTTCAAGCTCGATCGCTGCGGCTGGTTCAGGGTGGCCTCCCTCATGCGCTCCATCTTGGCTCGGAGCTCGGTTGCACACTCGCCTTCACCTCGCCACGTGGCCAAGCGGACGGCTGCGGCATGTGAGACAGGGTCCCTTGGAAGGTTCGAATGGTGAAACAAGGGCATCAAGGTATATCATGGTTTACCAAGGTTTCTAAGATTCTTGCATGTTCAAGGTTCTAATGGTTTATTAAACGGCTATAGTCTGGCTAAGAACCATGGCCTTCTGGACTTGCCTTTGACTTGCTCTCGCTGGCCGCTCCTCACGCGCGCGCATACAACTTTGAAGATGTCCCCCTGCCAGTTGTGGCAGAGACCGCCATAATTTTGGAGCGAAAACAGAAAGCTGGTTGCATGGCAAGGGTGCAGACCCGCGAAAAGGCACAGCGCCTTCAACAGCATGGCGCAGCTTCACGCGCGCGCGGCGGCGGGGGTTAGAATTTCAAGTGGGGCTGTCCATTTAGGGTCAGGCGACGCAGCCATGGCCCTGGCGCGTTCCCAGAGCATGCCCAAGTTGCAGGACTGGGGCATGGTCCAGAGCCTTCCTGCCTTTGTGGTATTTGCTGAGCGGCCATCTAACTTAGCAATGAGGTTCCACCATACAAATTGCTGGGTGCCAAAAGAGCAAAGCGCAAGAATATATTGTCAGTTGAGCGGGGCTCCTTAAAAGATACATCTTGCCCATTTGAAACATTGCTTTTTCCACCAAAATGAATGGACACCACCATGTGCAAGGCAATGTTCAGGTGTATAATGTAAGGATCCCTGTGGCCCAGGCGAGGCAAGCCGTGGACAGCCGGCCATCGACGTCAAATGGCGGGAGTCGGCCAGGGACGTCGAGCTGGCCAGCGATGCCGGGCCGGCCGGCCACGTCGCCGGGCAGCTGCGATGAACTCTGAGCATGGCACAAGCCCCCTTAATGGAATTGGGGGAGGGGGACCCCTGGAACTCGATTTGTCCCATTTTCCCTATGGGGAAGACAAATGGAATCGGGGGACCCCCTACCCCTGGCACAGCTGTGAACAATTAGATGCATACGGCAGCTCAGGCACTCTGACGCGTGCCGACTCGCTTGCGCTCGGGCCATAGTGTGCTCCTTGTTTGTTCGGCAGGAACAAAGAGATATATGCGCTGGCTGATGCAGCTTGCACATTGCCAGCGCATTGGAAACATTACATTGAGTTGCCTGGTGTCATGGAAGCAGACAGTTTGGCCCATTGTCTTCGGAATGAGGTGTGGTGTGTTTCGCCAAGCTTGAAAGCTTGAAATTGCCTCGGCTTGTTGTCCATGAGAAACATGACAGCCAGCCCGAGGATGATGCCAGCGGCGGTTCGGCTGGAGTTCCATCGGTATTCGACGCCCATGAAGGGCCCCCTCGGACGTGTCCTGTCAGCAGAAGGGCGGGGAAGGCAGGAGCTTGCGCATTATAAAAATCTGCAGATGGGGCGTGAACAAGCTCGGAACCGTGACTGCTGCAAGCTCAGGTACCAATATCAAGCAGGTGTCGAGCTCAGTTGTTTTGCCTATCACCTGTGAAGTCCAACGCTCACACGTCTGCACCGAGTTGTGAGAAGCACGCTACTTGCGGCATTGTCTCTGCCATGGCAAATGAGGGACAAAAACAGCTGTCCAGCAAACGACTGAAAGCCATCAGGCAACATTCAAAAGACCAAGCACCAGTTTTGGAAGGGCGTGGGAGGATTTGTGGAAAGTCCTAGCAAGTTTGGTGGCGGAAGGTTAAAGGTTACGGAAGGTCATAAGCCATCCAAAGTGTTACTTTCCGAAGCCAATTGTCATGAACATGTGCGTTCCCGTTCCGCATGTAATGATTTCAAAGCCCTCATGCTGGACCCTGCTTGCAACAGCGCATGAGAGTGCTACACTTTGCATTGGAATCCTGTGCTGAGAGTAGAGCCGGTACCCTTGCCCAAACCATTCCTAAGCCAAGCTTATTCCCCACATATCTCAAAGCTACCCCTAACCCCAACCAAACGACAGCTTCAACCCATTCCAAATTCAGGCAGGGAGTGGTTGTAGAGTTCAAGGTGCACATTGGCCCAGATCAAACGCAGCCTGCATGGGACCGAGGTGCTCGCCTTGTAAATTCGGTGCTTTCGTTTGATTCGCAGGGCCCCAGGTGGGTCTCTGTTTTCCGCCATAGGTCCGAACTGTTCAGGGACGCCAAGAATCTCACTGGTTCAACCTTGAAGCATGGGACTTTTTGCACTTCGTGCTGCCACACATGGTGTCAGCTGGACTGACCAGCTAGAGAGACGCGTGGGTGCTAGATGGCTGTGGGTCAAAGCCAATGGTATACCATTTTGGGGTAGGTGAATTCACCACCCATCTTAGAACCTATTTTAGTGGTTGGATTGAATCGGATGTTCAGTGGGGGTACGATTTGGCTTTGGATTTTGACCCCTGGCCCTCATGCCCCGTGCCTCCCCGTGCCTCCGTGCCTCCGTGCCTCCGTGCCTCCGGGGGCGGGAGGCCATGGCTTTGAGGTCAGCAAGCACTTCCAGTTCCGCGGCTACGTGGAGGAGCTGCAGGGCCGCAGCATCACCATGGAGCAGCTGCTGCAGCTGAAGCACTTCGCAGTGCCGCTGCAAGGGACGGATATGATATGGATGGATCGATGGCGGAGGGGGGGGGGGAGGGGGAGGTGGAGGGGCAATAAGGGGAGGGGCGGAGGGGCCGCAGGGGCCGGAGGTGGAGGGGTTCAATAAGGCATCCCAATGGGAATCCTTTGCCTTGATGGAGATGATGTCAATTTTTTGCAATGTTAATATGTTTGCAATGATGGCTGAAGTTGAACTACTGCCATGTGGTGAGCATAGTGGGGGATGCAAATTCTGAAACAGCTGCAGCAACACCCGCTTGAATCATAGAGGCCACTTGAATTGTTTGGAGAATTCACTCCGCCCGCTTGCGTTTTGGAGTTTGAGCTTGTCGGCACCACTTGGAGTGCCTCCTTGGAATTGACCAAAGCGAAACAACCTGAAACGGCCGTTCGCATTGGGCAGCCACGATGCCAACACGACTTTGCGCTGCCTATGTGAGGGTTAGCTTTCACTCTGGTGCACTCAAATCATGTTCTGCAAGCTATTCAAGCTGCCCGGCTCTTGCCTGAGCGGTACGAGGCAAATTATAACTGAGGGGGAAGTGTTCTTGCAGTTCTTGCACCCCTTGCCGGCAGCAAAAAAAGGAAACAAATAAAAAACCAGCTTACTTACTTCACAGCCAGGTGCTTTGAAGTACATCCCATGCCCACGCCAGTTGCTTGACATGAGGTGGGCAACTGTTACAACTGGGGCATCTCTGCATCAGTGCTTGACTTCTACCACCTTCATGAGTGGATCGTGAGGCCAGCTACCAGGCGCGTGCGACTAATAAAAGGGGCATGCCACCCCCCGGATTTTTCAGAGGTCCCTATATTTCCCTTTTTCGTGGTTGTAGACATCACCTTTTGTGGCCCATGACAGGTGGGTGTCCCTTGGTGGGGGTGATGTTTCAAGAGGAACTAGGTTTTTGCACAGCGCCGTGACAGAAATGCAATGGACAGGGAGCTGAACAGCGCGATGATGGAGCACCTGTCCGACTGCAAGCTGCTACCAAACTGGCTCCTTGGCTCACAGTTTGGGCCGCCAACTGCGGGCTGGACATCACGCCAGGTTTGTGAGCCACTACTGGGGCCAGCACATCGAGCAGTTCGTTGGGGGCTTGAGGCTCGCGAGACCACTCCTGTTCCAAGCCCTGTGGCGGGTGAGCTTCCGTCCGGCAGGCAGCATCTTGCTGTTCGGGGCCTCAGCGGGAGAACTGGATACTGGATATGTGCCTTTGCCAATCGGCATTCGGAGGCGTGGCTGCAGACTGAGCCGCAGAGTGTCAGCCGAGCAAGAGGGGGTCGAGCGGGTCGCGGCCCAAAGGAGCCAAACCAGCACTTAGGAGTTCCATGCGGACGTTGGGGCGACCCCCACATCCTCACCGCTATTCAGCGCCATTGAGGCAAGGCCCCAAGCTTGAGGCAAACTTCTCAGCAGGCACTGAACACGCGCCTGCATCTACTGTTCAGTCGGCAACCGGCCGTCAACTACATAAGTTTCCGGGCATAGGCCCGCTGGTTTTGGATGGAATCGTGGGAAACCACAAGTGGTGTTGTTCAGGAAATTGAAAGGCAGAGTCCTGGTAAGCAGCGATCTCCACCACTTCTTTGTGTATTTGCCATCAAGCCCAGACTGAGCTGTGGACTTTGAAGTTGTTAAACCATCAGAGCGGCACCTGTGTCGATCAATCCCATTGTACTTAGAAAGGTCCGGGCAGAGATAGCACATGTCATTGTCATCATGCAGTATGGCGAGTGGAGCCACACCATGTCATTGTGAACGAGGGGGGGGTCATTGTGGATACTGGGGGCTTTGATCTTTGCCATCTACGCACTCCTTTGCCTTTGGCTTTGCTTGAATCCTTGTTCATTCCAAATCATTCCAATTCCAAACATTCCCGAACAACAACGAGAGCTACCGCAAACATCCCCAAACCCACCCCATCCCCACCCAAAAGAACAAACTGCGTGTCCGTTGATTCCCCCTTCTTTTCAAGCATGGTTCTTTCCAAAAACTGGCTGCTTCCCCTCGGTTTGGGACGGTTTGGTGGAATGAAGGATCCCTGGAAAGACTGGGGAAGGCACCCCGGTTTTCGCAGGCGGCCCATTTCCGGATCCTCTTGGTGCTGGACTCCTCCCCCGACTTCCCCGGCCCGGCCACGGTGCTGTCCCGCAGCTGGTGCGCCTTCGAGTGCGCTTCTTGGCGGGCAAGACGGCACCCATCGAGTTTCCCGAAAACGGGGGGGCAGTTTGGGTACCTAGGCGGTCGGTTTGCCTTGAGGTTTCGGGCAACTCGGAAAGCAGAATGGCTGAAATGGAGGGGGGTTCCCAGGAATACGTCTTTCTGTCTTTCGTTCGTCCTTTCTGTTTTGTTTGTTTTCTTGCCCTTTTGAGGCAAAGAGGCAAGAGGGGCA